CACATCTGGAAGAGTGTAAAGTATTATTTGCCTTTTTAAAAGCAGAATCTGACTTTGCCCACTAAACTGTGAGTCCCATGGAATCAGGAACCAGATCAGTGTGCCCCCAGAGCCTAGCACACCACCGGGGATGAGGAGGGCAGACACTACCTACCTATTGAATGGATGGAGGGAAGGAGGGAGGGAGGGAAGAAGCAGAAATAAATGGGTGAACAAGCTAACAAGTAAATTAGGGACACACTTCACTCCAATAACTGTGGTTCTCAAAACCCAACCAAATCCCCTCAAAGGAGGGATGGGGGCATATGTCTATCACTCCAGGCTACCACCACCAATTGAGACCATATGGGTGTACTCTGTCTACCTCCCAGGAAAAATGCACTTTCCTTCCTCTTTATCACAGAGCATTTTTAAAAAAGTTTTTTTAACTGTAGTTGGACACAATACCTTTATTTTACTTATTTTATGTGGTGCTGAGGATCAAACCCAGTGCCTTGCATGTGTTAGGCAAGCACTCTGCCACTGAGCCACAACTCCAATCCTGCAGAGCATGGTTTTTGTACCCCAATCTAGTATTTATCTCATCTACAATGAATTAATTATTAAAAAATCTTTTCTCCACCAGGCGTGGCGATGCGTGCCTGTAATCCCAGCAGCTCGGGAGGCTGAGGGAGGATTGCAAGTTCAAGACTAACCTCAGCAATTTAGCAAGGTCCCAAGCAATTTAGCAAGACCCTGTCTCAAAAACAAAGAATGAAAAAGGCTGGGGATGTAGCTCAGTGGTTGAGTGCCCCTGGGTTAAATCCCTAGTACCAATAAATAAATAAATAAAAGTCTTCTCTCCCCACTAGATATAGACTCCCGGGAGGAAGAGACCTTGTCCTGCTCAAGTCTGCTTCTCAGCCTGTGCCATTTCTGCTCTGCAAAGCACAAATGCGTTGGCAAGCTCTGCGCAGGCTTATGTGTCTCATTCTCTTTGTGCTTCCACTCTCACCACTCACATAGCCAGGGTTGGACTGTCAGATTGAGCAAATAAAAATGCAGAACACACAGTAAACTTCTGAATTTCACATAAAGAACAAATTGCTTTTTTAGTGTTGAGTACTTCCCATGTAATATTTGGAATATACATATACAAAAAAAAAAAAAGGATTTGTTGTTTATCTGAAATTCAGCTTATAGGACATTTGGTACTTATCTGACAACCTTAACTGGGGGCTTTGCCAGAAGCAGTTAGCCAGCAGAGAGGAAGGTGTGTGGCAGGGTGGGTAGGGAGCAGAGAGATAACAGGATCTGCCCTGCCCAGGCTAAGGCTTGGGTAAGCGCTGCAGGAGCACTTACCTGCCATCTCTGACTTCTCTGCCTTCTCTCCCCTAGCTCTGCAATTTCCCCTATGGCCTATGAAGAACCACCTTCTCTGCACACCTTCTCTGTACCTGTGTACCATCAGAGGTCTAAGTGCCCTGTAGCGGGCTCAGTAATGCCACGGGTCACCTCAAAGAGGTCACAAGTGCAAGCCCTCTAGTGCTGGCTCCCTCTTGCTGCCCCTCGGGGCTGGCTGCTATGTTGTGTGCCTGAATCTGTCCATGCCCAGGGATTTTTCTCCATGTACAGAGCAGTCAGGTCCCGGCAGAGGAAGATGGGAACCCAGAGTGACGTCCCGAATCTCAGTGTGTATAGAGTGGGGTGGGGGATGGTGCTGGCCTGGACTCTGCAGCAGATAGAAATGAAAAGCCCAGTCTGGGGGTTCTGGTCAGGTCTGCAATACAGCACCTTTTAATTGCTCTCTGACCTCACGGCTTGGGACATGCAGGGCAGGGCATGGCTGTGCATCTCCCTGATGGCCCCCTAGAGGGAAAAATGGAAGTGTGCTTTTCTGGATGAGATTGGATCTGAATGTACCCCATGGCCCTCAACTCACTGTCAGAGGAGGGTCAGGTTCACTTGGTATCACCTTGCACACGATTCCTGAGTTACATTAGAGGTGGGAACCCAAGGCCTTCTTGTGGTAACCTGACCTCCACCAGAGGCAAAAGACACCATGTGGCAGGGGAGAAATCAGGGGGAATACATAAGGACACCCACACTGGGGACAGAGTAACCAACTTGTGCTGGGGGGGAGTGTGGCCCAGGGTACCATCAAAGGGGTATCCAGGCCACATGTGATCCTCAGAATGCCATATATAAATCCCCAAATGGTGCCCAAGCAGCACCAGAAAGGAATGCAAGATTCATGATCTAAACTAGTTTGGCTGGGTGGCTCTTTGTTAGAGGCCCACTGGGGGTCCGTGAAAACCTGCTGCTGTAAGTAAAATTATACGTATATGCGCTTTTTTCTGGGGAAAAGGTTTTCTACCAGATTCACCAATGGGTCTGTAGCCCCAAGAAGGCCCAGAACCACATGCAGTTTTCCTTGGGCTGGCTTCTTGAGCCTGGCCCTTTATGGTCAGGGGGAGGTGGGGCTCAGTCAGAAAGAGGAGGGGCAAGATGGTTCTGAGACCAGGCCTTGGGCCACCGGTGCTTCCCACCTACTCCGGCCTGCCCCAGAGGCCCCTTCCAGAGAGAGGCTGTGCCTGCATCCTCTGAATACTCCAGCACACAGCAGGACATCTGCAGGGTGAAGCACACATGGGACAGATCCAAAGTCCTGGCCCTTTGGACAGCACAGCCCAACATCTCATCACTTGTGATACCTCATCACATCCTCAGGACAACCCTGCCACGTGAATACCATTCAGGCTTTCATTCTGCAGAGCAGAGAACTGAGTCTGGAGCAGTTAAAGAACCTTTCCAGAGTTACATGATGACAGTCAGGAACCAGTCTCAGGCAACATGTCTCTCTACACAGCCTCTTAGAAACCCAGAATTATATATTCCATTTTCTCTTCCTCTATAGGAGCTACCATATTAAAACCAAAAATCCTGATAAATAAGAAAGTCATGAAAATAAGCGAATGAACACTATGGAAAGTGAAAATGCATGGGAGAAGTCACATGGTGTGTGAAAGGGGCTCACAAAGATGCTATGTTGGATTCCAAGGCTAAATTCCAAAGGTGCAGCTCAACCCCCTCCAGCTGTATCTGCAGTCATTTCTCAGGGTCCACAGAAAATTGGTTCCAGGACCAATACCAAAATCTCTGGTGCTCAAGTCCCTTCTATAAAATGGCACAGTATTTGCATATAACCTGTGCAGATCCTCCCATACTTTAAATCTCTAGATTTCTTGGAAACAACTATTCTACGGCACTGTTTAGGGAATAATGACAAGGAATAAAGTCTGTACATGTTCAGAGAAACTTTTTTCCCAAATATTTTTGATCTGCAGTTGGTTGAATCTGCAGATGTGGGAACCACAGATAATGGCACACTGATGGTAAGGACCCACAAGGACAAGCCTGGCCATCACGACAAGCTGTTCCATGCTTGTGTCCCCTCCCAACATGCAGGAAATGAGCCCTCTGGGCAAGGGAGAAGAGGGGAAGCAAATTCCTTTCTTGTGAGATTCTAGGGAGGGAGTAGGGGGCCAGAGCGGAAAGGGGGGAGAAGAAAAGTCCTGATTTGGAAGTTTCCACTGGCTTTCAGACCTCATCCCACTCATCAATGAGCCCTTTCAGGTTGCCTCTCCCCAACTGAGTTATCATTTCCTGTCCGGCACACTGTACTCATTGATGGGGTGTCAGCAAATCCCACCAGTTTATGCTGGAAGGACCCAAGGAGACTGGACAGGAACTGAAAGAGGAAGAGAAGGAAGGCAGAGGATAAGGAATGGCTCTCAATCCCATATGCAATGGGACATTCAGTCAGAATGACCAGGGAATAAAGGAAGGTAATACAGGCAGCTGAATCACCTTTGGTTTGTCTCAGAGGAAGCACAATAAGGACAGGAGATAAAATCAGGTATTAGGGGGCAAACATTCAGTCTTGCCTCTCATTGAACCCACCATCAAAGGCCTTCAAGCAAGCAAAGGAGTGAACTCTTGTCCTGAGGGCTAGGAGTGGGTGTCTCTGGTCTGTGTAACCAGGTTCACACCCTGAGGAAGAATCCAGAATACCTCAGTCACCTTGCAATGACTCTCTCCCTTCTCTGACATTTGCCTCTGACACACAGGAGTAGACTCCCTGGTGGCCTTGTCCGTCCCTGGCCATTCTGATTGGTCGAGAAAGAGCACCTGACCCAAGTTAGGCCAATCAGAGTCTTCCCTTGTGTTTGTCAACTTGGAACTGGGAGAGAGTCAGTGTGTCTGCTGTTGGGAACCACAGATAAGAAATTCAAGAACTCTTCACAGTCAAGCACCTCAGGGTGTGAGGGAATAGAAGCTGAGGACAGTGTCAGAGGGAAACAAAGAAAAGACAGAGGGAAAGCTGATCTGAGGCTTAGGTCTGCCCAAAGTCACTGCTCTTCTCTCCATCTGGTAGGCTGCATAAGCTTCCCAGATATATTTTTTGTCTCAACCAGCATAAATGTACAAGTGTCACTTGTCACTTAAAAGAAGACTAACTAAACTGGTTGGCACCAAGGGGTGTCTGCAGTGGTAACTGCAGGCTCTGTAATACCACCCCCCTGTGAGAACATCCCTATGTGAATTAGAGACACACACCTACCATCCACATGTACAAACTGGGGGGCAAGTGCCTTATTTGGTTAGGCAGACACAGTGGTATGCCCAGTTTGCGTCTGGAGTTCAAAAAGTTGCTTATTTTCTGTTTCGGTCTTCTCCTCATGTTTGCTTTTCTTTGCCTGAAATGATGTGGCGGCTTGTGTCTCATCCTGAATGTTTACAGACATGTCTGCTCAGGCCTTAGCACCCACAGCCATCCTCCTGCCTCTTTGCTGAGCAAGTCAATAATGCCCTGAGTGTCTGCGTGCCATATCCCAGATGGACAAGCACAGCTTCCCTCATCTGTCCCTCTGCACCAACCTCAATTCCAACCATGACGGCTCTGATGGGGGTCATGAGAGGCCAGTCCATCAGAAAGACTCGGGCTCCAGCCAACTCACCTGCAGATCAAAGAACTTGCTGTACCTCCGGTAGATGGTCTGGGAGGTAGAGTCGGACCAGGTCACGTTGATAATGTATACCTGTGGGAAAAGGGAAGAGCAGGTGAGCAGGTGACCAAGGCAAGCCTTCAAGCTGTGCTGGACATCTTTTACATGTGTAGGTGCACCAGGGTCAGGGCCATGCTTCTTGTCCCATCTGTCCCCCTAGAAATGCATGTCAGGTACCATGTGGATGCTACAATATACATCTGAATACACTGCACCCACATGCAGACCTGCACACATCTAGAGGGACATTCAATAAAATGTTAATGATGATTTTCTTAGAAGGGTAAGATTAAAACAAGTGGTCTTAATTTCCTTCTTTTTAAAAAATATTTATTTTTTTAGTTGTAGTTGGACATAATACCTTTATTCCATTCATTTATTTTTATGTGGTGCTAAGGATCGAAGTCAAGGCCCTGTATGCGCTAGGTGAGCGCTCTACCACTGAGCTACAATCCCAGCCCCTAATTTCCTTTTTTATATGTATATACAATGAACATAAAATTGGGGTCATTACCTTTTTGGCTTGTTTGTTTTTAAGGTGGTTAATCTACTGGTTCTCAAACTTTAGAGTGATTTTAGAAGATTCCATGAGGGATCTTCCAAAATTATATGTGCCTAGGTCACTGGCTAAAATTCTGCATAGGCAGACCAGGGCATGGGGACTCAGACATCCACACTTTCAATAAGCCCAAGTTATTCCGCTGCGTTCATCCTCAGCATTCACTCTGAACAATGCTTCAGAGACCATAAGCCCTTCAGAGAGCTGCAAGTCACCTAAGTGTCCCTAAGTCTTAGTTTGGTGCCTGGCACAGAGCAGGTACTCAGAAATATCTTGCTACATTGAACAATCAAACAGGATTGTAAAATAAGAAGCAGATTCACAGAAGAGACGTTAGCTCATTTGTGAGCTTTTCTCTGTGGGTTTCTTGCAATGAAGGTGTTTCAGGGCCAGAATGGCACCCCAGTTCCCCAGGCCCCTTCAGGCTCTGCAAGGCTACTGCCTCAAACCATTCTGGAAGGTATCTGGGCCACTAGGTTGCTGGAGAAGAGAGAGCTCCTGCCCACAATCGGGCCTGCTGTTCCCAATATTTTTGTTCCTCCTGGGAGAGGCCTTAGTTAGAGAGCTGGGCCATCTCCCATAACCACAGGGCTCTTGTGCTGGACTCCCTTGGTGCCTGGGCCAGATGTGACCCAGGTGAGACCTCAGGAGAGAGGCAGAAGCTGTAGGTCCCCAGTGGCGATTCCCACACCAGGATGCCTATCAGAATTCCCTGGGAGACCTGCAACAATGCACATTGCCAGGCCTTTGCCTAGTGATTCTGATTACAGAAGTCTGGAGGGGCACTACCAGTGAGGAGGCCAACACAGCCAGAGAAGGCTAGGGTCCAGGCCATGGTGAGGAGAGAGAATGTGAGCGGAGAGCAGCATTTAGACCCTGGGCACACACTGGCTGCCCTCCCTTGCTGCCTGGACCAGGACTTGCTCATGAATGCCCAGGTTGCATGACTGGCATTCAGGTAACTGTGCTTCCTCCCCTAACATTGCTAAGTCACAAAGCCAGTCTCATGCTGTGGGGAGAATTTGTTCCCAAATGCAGCTGAGGAAAGAGCCATAAAGCCAGGCAACTAGGACTGGACGTGGCCATCAGAGATTTATGACATGAGATACTGATAAGGAAGAACATTAAATAAAAGGCCATCCCTACCTTCACAAGCTCACAATAAATTATTGACTTATTATAATAAATAGACATGGATATGCTTTGCTTTATATCATATGTAAATGTATGTCTCATACAATAAATTGTAAAACCACTTAGCTAACGAAGCGTTAGCTTATGTTTCGGTAGCCAAATGTGACGACATGCTAGTACAGTGTAAAGTTTTTATACCTATTAGCTCATTTAATCTTCAGCCCCACAAAGTAGCAACCAATGGTATCTTCACATGGCACAGGAAAAAGGAGAGGCTCAAAGAAGTTAGTAACTTGACTGAGCTCCATAACCAGTAACATATTAAACAAAAAACTTGAACCCAATCTAGCTGAGTCCACACCCCATGTTCTTGACCATACTGGGTATCTTAGTTCATTTTCTGCTGTTGTAACACAATACCTGAGACTGGGTAAATTATAAACAATAGAAGTTGCTTTGGTTCTGGACTCTAGGAAATCCAAGACCATGCTGCTGGCATATGGCAAGGGTCATTCCATGGCATAAGGTGGAAAGGCAAGTGAATGCAAGAGACAGAAAGGAATCAGGGCTGAACTCATCCTTCTATCAGGAACCCACTCCCACGATGGCAGCATTAATCCATTTAGGAGAGCAGAGCCCACATGACCGCTTCACCTCTTAAAGGACCCACCTCTTAACACTGTTACCTGGAAATTAATTGTCAACTTGAGCTTGGAGGGGACATTCAAACCAGAGCCCCTGGACTATCTCCCGATTTGAAAATGTGGGAGTGTGAATATTTTAATCAAACTACTTGATCAGGCCTGAAAGACATCTTTTAAAATAAAGCTGCAGGTGACCTGGAAAGTGTGAGCCAGCTCGTGCTCAGGGGGGTGGCCAAGAGGAACATGGTGGAGACAGGGTGCAGTACAGACAACTGTGAGCGCTCAACACCAAGAAGAGACAGAACTTGGGGCCCAGACAGAAGCCGGCGGTTAGGACGGCTATGAACCCAGACCACCACCGGAACCGTGTGCTCAGAGGCTTCACGATGAGGCAGGAGGCCCTGGGATTTCCACACGTTAGAACCCACCCCATTCCCGCTGCCGACCTCCGGCTCCACCTCTCCCGGGCCCCACTTCCATCTGCACTTTCCCTTCCCACAGGTCCCCAGGCGGGGAGCAGCTGTGTGCACCTGCCAGGTGTTGCCTGCTGAACCTAAGGAGGCCCCGAGTGGCCTTGCCAGCCTGGAGAGAAAGCGCTTGAATGCCCCTGCAGGACACAGACAGCAGCCTTTCTCCTGGGCCAACCAAGCGGAGCCCAGAGGAAGGGCTTAACTGGGGCTTAACACCCACCCTCCACCCTGCGGAGCAATTAGGGGCTTCCCTTTACCTCCCAGAGAGAATTAATCACAGGCTCACAGTCCCTGGCAGCTGGGATCTGGGGAGGCGTGTGTGTGTGTGTGTGTGTGTGTGGTGCTGAGGCTCAAACCCAGGGACTCACACATGCTAAATGGCCTCTTCTTTGGCAGAGGAGGAACCTAGGGCCCAGCATGGTGACTTGCCAATGGGGATGGTCAGGTAAAGAGTGAATTCTGGAGACAGCCACAGCCAGGTTTCACTCCCACCACCACCTTGTTAGAGGCTGGGAGACCTCAGCCCGGCCTCCCAGACCTTCAGACTCCTCCATACAGTGGTCACCACCTTCAGGGCTGCCAGGCCTGATGCATGCGCAGTTATCACTGTAGGGTGCTCATTCTTAGTAGAAAAGCTGGGATGGGGACACAGACCCCCCCCCCAATTCCTAGCCTAGGACTAGTTGGCCCGTGACTAAACATGCCCCCCCCGCTTGGAAAAGTCCTTTGTCTTTTGAAAACTTATAGGAACCATTTCTGTTCTGTGGGTCCATTGACCTGGACCCACACCAAAAATGCATGCTGTGAAGAATTGGTCAGAGGAAAGGGGTGACAGAAAACTGTCCCTATGACCCTTATCAGTTATAGCCACATAGTCAGGACTGGGCCACACACCCCCCCCCGAAAAAAACCAAAAACAAACTTATTCCCTTGTTTGGCAAAGATCTGCTCCTGTTGACACCTTGCTCCTCCCTTCCCATGCTCCAGGTGGCACAAGCATGACACAATGGCAGGGGGTAGACTCTCAGTTCCTCTGAAGTTTCTGGGATGTGCGAGAGGCTCCCTGCATTGAGGAAATAGTCAAAGTCCTCTCCAGAGATAAGCCCAGGACACGAGGACAGTCTCCAGAGCCTGTTCTCTCATCGGCCTGTCTGCTTTCTTCCAAACCTTGAATATCCTAGATTATCCCTCCAAATGAGTGATGGGGACACAAAATTCCAGCCTGGCCTATTCCTAGCAACCCTACCCTGACACCAGAGTTTCTTAAGTCTTCCTGCTGGCGCTGGAAACTTTAGAGATAAACTGCAGAGAAAGAGCAGGTGCTGGGAAGGGGGACAGGGCGGAGGTCACCCGAGAAAGCCAGCTCTGTTTACGGAGCCTGCGTCAGGGGCCCAGATAAACCCCCTCTGGTCTCAGGAGCAGCCAAGATAACATTACCCGGCAGCTGGGTCTCAAGAAAGGTTTGGCAATTAAACATCCTGCTTCCAAGCACAGTACTTGGGGTTATGTTTCCCGGGTGGAGTTTCCCTTCCTTCTGGATTTTAAAATGCACGGATTCTATTTCCCCGTCTCTGGCCATTTCGGGCAGATGGTGGGTGGCTATGAAGCCTCACTAGAGACCAGCAACTGTGTGCAGCTTCCCCCGGGTCAGCCCAGGCGCAGGAGGCCAGACGGTCACAGTCCCCTGCTGGCTTACCTGTGTGGAGGAGAATCCCCCCGCTGCAGGCACAAGTGTGGCGCTCTCATATGACCCATGTGAGGCTGCCCTCTGTCCCCCAGCTCAGGTGGCCAGCCAAGTCCAAACTTTCCAAACTTGTCTTCCCAGTGGGTACTTCTCTCCTCCATTAACTGTGCTCCAACAAGACCGTGACCTGGATGCAAATCAGACTTGCAGCTCAACCCTAGAGCACAGAGGATGAGGCCCAGTCTGGTTCTGTGGAGGGATGGGTGCCCGTGATGGGATCTGGGCTGATGGATCAACACCCGAAAATAGATGGCCCAACCATTGCTAGAAGGCCTAGGACCTGCCCGTGCTCAATCAGAAAGCTCTGGTAAGTACCTGTGCCCCATCTGCTGACACAGTACAGCAAGAGGCCAGAGCTAGAAGTGGTGGTGGCCACTGCACATCTCCATGGCACCGCTGCTCCATTTACTGAGGAAGATCTTATTTTTCCTGGACCCTGGCCAGCTGACCCTGCCCTTGGCCAAATGGAAACTCAA